CTTGATTCCAACACTGTCTCCTTTTATGTTGTTTAACTCTTGACGTTTTAAGAGGGCAGGCGTGGTTTAGTGTTGTCTGGATGATGTTGCTGAAATTGTTGTAGGCTTCATCTACGTCATGAGTTTGTATTATAGTTTCCCAGTCTTGTTCTTGTAGCTGTGTCTTAAAGTTATCTATTGTTGTTCTGTTGAAGATTCGTTTATTTTCTTTGATGTTGTTGATGATCGGTTTTCTAGTGATGATTTTTGCGATTTGTGCGGTATGGTCAGATAGTCCTGATGTTATAACTGAGGTTTCTATTTGTTGATTATCAATGTTTGAGCATATCCAGTCTATTGATGTTTCTGAGTCACTTGTAATTCGAGTGGGAGGTAGCCTCAGTCTTGAGATATTGAAGGAGGTTAGGAGTTCTTCAATTTTTTCGTTTTCATTGTCATCAACTAGGTTGTTTACATTGATGTCTCCCATTATTAATATTTGCTTATCCGTAGTGAGCACTGTTTCCAGTTGTTCAGAGAGTATATCGATGGCTTGGTCTAGGTTTGCACTTGGTGGCCTGTATACTCCGAGGACCAGCAGTGGATTCCTGTTTAGCTTCAGTTCAAAGAGCACAGTTTCGCAAATTAGTGAAGAGAAGTCCGCAATAATTGAAAGATATCATAGGACACTGAATGAGAAACTTAAAGTGAAATTCCAAGTCCGACAATCCCACAAGTGGTACGATATACTACAAGAAGTCACAGACGAGTATAACCAACACGATTATCACCACACTATTAAAATGAGACCAGTAGAGGTCAACAAAGATAACGAGGCTGATCTGTTAAAAATGTACATTGAGCGCGAACACAAAATTCGTAAAAACAGCAAGTTCGACCTCGGTGATAGAGTTCGTATCACGACAAAAAAAGACGTGTTTGCGAATAAATATAAACAAAACTGGACTTCGGAGATATTTACAATAGCACGAATTCTAAACACTAGACCGGTTACTTATAGGATCGCCGATCAAAATGGCGAGGAAATTATAGGCGGATTCTATGAAAAAGAACTGCAGAAGACTGCTCTCTGAATTTCTGAGGGTGCCTCGAGTCTTAGTCCAGACATTCAAGTCCAAAGACTGAACCCGCTCTGGGGGGCTATTCAAGTCCAAGGAATGAACCAGCTCTAGAAGGTTATTCAAGTCCAAATACTGAACCCGCTCTGGGGGGTTATTCAAATCCAAGGAATGAACCAGCTCTAGAAGGTTATTCAAGTCCAAAGACTGAACCCGCTCTGGGGGGTTATTCAAATCCAAGGAATAAACCAGCTCTAGAAGGTTATTCAAGTCCAAAAACTGAACCCGCTCTGGGGGGATGTACCCGCTCTGGGGGGCTATTCAAGTCCAAGGAATGAACCAGCTCTAGAAGGTTATTCAAGTCCAAATACTGAACCCGCTCTGGGGGGTTATTCAAATCCAAGGAATGAACCAGCTCTAGAAGGTTATTCAAGTCCAAAGACTGAACCCGCTCTGGGGGGTTATTCAAATCCAAGGAATAAACCAGCTCTAGAAGGTTATTCAAGTCCAAAAACTGAACCCGCTCTGGGGGGGATGTACCCGCTCTGGGGGCTCTCATCCTCATCCTGCGCTCGAACCGGCTAATACATAACTACTCTAAATATCTGTGATTGCTTCAATGGACTGTGATTGGTTGAATGGTTGTGACTAATCTACATGGTATGGACATTTGTTTGTACAGCATCCCTTGAAAATGGAAGGGTTTTCCAATAGTCTGAAGCTGTATTAGAAAATAACAAACACTTACAGAGCAGAAATTTATTCCATAAAATTATTTTTTATAATTATATAGCAAAACGAATGTATCAGCAAACAAAATCAAACACAATTCCAGCTCAGAAGTCGGAACACAATTTGAATTTACTAAAAAACTGTTTTATGTTTAGTCATTGTCTGACAACGACAACTAATAGTAAAGAATCATCTACGTTTTTATCTCAACAGAATAATTTCAGATTACTGGGTGATAACTAAAAATGAAACTAAATCAGCTACTACGGGTTAAAATTCATAAGAAAACCAGACATATTTGATTTATTGTGCCAAGTAGATCTCGCTAGGGTAATGTTTCATAGGACAAGTAGAACTCGATTGGTTGGTATTTGGCTGATTCCTTTCTCTATTGTCATATACAGTACTAGGGTACTAGGAATACCTCGAGCATTTCTCTAGTGCGGCGAGCATCAGTGTTAGTTTCAGCTTCTAGTTGAGCCTTCTCTTGATGCTGCTTACAGTCCATACCAGGATGAATAGCCTGTTGAGAATACCACTACGTTAGAGAACTACAGAATACAATATACAAATAAGATTAATTTTAATTTGACTATACATGTATAGTTTCCAAGAGCGGATTCACTAACTTTGAATGGACATCTTTTAACTACAAAAATTAAAGAACCCGTAGAAGTATAGTAAACACTGAATATCGAATACAAGGCAAAAAATTATCAGTTGTAATTTAAAAAATCCAAGTTTGGAAGTATAACAAACTCAAATTAGGACAATAATATTTTGATGGAGTTAAAAGGGGAAAACATAAGATAACCTTCCATTAGACACATACAATTGGCCAAAATTATGTATTCTTAGCAATACGGAATGTAAGCATATTAAAAAAGTGTATTTACAACATTTAAATAAAAACAAACAATAAATTTAAACTAGCCTATCTGTTAAATTATTATTCTTGGAAGTTAATGAAAGAATATGTGAGTTTCCAGCAGAAGTCGGCAGATCAACAATTGAATTGGTCGTTGTCAGTTGATAAGTTGGCGTTTGAAGCATTACAATTTTACTTTTTTTCTATCATTCCTTGAACTTCATTGGTCCGTTACCAACTCCATACCCCTAGCAGCCTTTACCACACTAGAGCTGTCAAGTAAGTACCGTAAACAATGTGATAAAGTGAATTGTTTCAATCCTAAAAATTTAATGAAAAGTCTAGTTTAAAAACCGATTGTAGGTAAAGAAATTTAACAATTAAATAAAACCAATGTTTCTTTTTACCATCAACAGGTTAAATCCAGTACAACCAACAGAATACAATGCCCTGGAAGCTGTATAATTTTGAGTTTTCTTCATATTTCAATACTTAGTAATTATGCTGAGTTAAAAAATTTGTATTGTTATACTGAGTGAAAATTTAGATTGTTTAATAATCCTCACATAGATTTATCAGAATGTACATTATTTATTAATCTGATGACTAGAAGGCGTTGTTGACGTGTCATCAAATATGCACCAGACAGGACAATCGGGGGGACGAGCATTCACCAGTGAAAAGCATTATCAACAAACCTACCAAGGGGAGCGAGCAGGTATAGTTGTAAAGTATGGGACTTCAGTTCCTCAAGTACTGGGTTCAAATCCCATCAATCATCAATTCATTTTATCTAAGTGATAATGCACTCTCTATGCCAAACCTAAAAAAAGTAATGTGCAAAACAGTTCTGGGGGGAAAACCCTACCTGACAAGTAAGACAGTTGACTTGGTTGCAGACTGGGCATTGGAAGGTGTTGACATTGTCCTCAAATATACACCAGCCAGGACAATCAGGGGACTTGCAGTGAAATGCATTTCCAATTTTATTCTCAGCCTGTGCAACAGACTTGGCCAGATGTTGCTCATACACCTCAGGTGTTACGAGCTGAAAAAATAGAGAATACCAATGTTTAGAATGTTTAAAAAAAAGTTTGATATAATTGAATCATTCAAATTTGTTAAAAATTATCACAACCTATTGGGGTGAAAATTTGGGGGGAGTCATGATTCTTTGAAGTGTCTGCGCCAGTCAACAAAAATTATAAAAACACTTTCAAGGGAAATTTCTGTAGCCCATCAAATGTTCAAATGTTCCAGTGTGGGAACGTACACCAAGGATGAAGGAAAATACAGGTTGCTTACAACTATATAGGTTCTTTGAAAATGCTGAGTGGGAACGCTGTTTCCACGCGTTCCTGACCCACTACACCACCGCAGACACATTAATTTTGGGCGGTCAGTAAAAAATTTGGCTGACATTTCACAACAATCTGTATGTGTGTGCAAGTGGCTATTTGCTATTGTATGCAACTGCATACTTTGGTGTACACAGTATACTTCTCCGGCACTGGTCAATGCAATGGCAGTTGCCAGTTGCTCACCAGCATCTTAGTGTTGATCAGAGCAGAGGTCAGCGTGTGTGCCAGGTTTTGTTCACTCTTGTGGTGCACTATTGGAATTTGGGCAATAATAAATAATTAGCTACCTGAAATCGGTTTGTATGCAAATAGCTTTTTTCAGTTTCAACAAAAATACCTTTATCGATATTCAACTGTCAATTTTGTATTTTGCACTAACATCTTCATCTAGCCAACATAGCTGGGTAATCCTCAAGGTTTATGTAACACTTAAAACTAATAGAATATATTACTGTATAATTTAATATTTTTCTTTTGATGCTGCACTAAAAAATATATAATTAACTTTATTTGTACAGGTCACACTATTTGAAAAAATTACTACGTTTAAATGTCTAAATGATATTAATAAATGTATGCTATGATTTTTTCCAAATAAATTAAAATTTATTTTTTACAGTGTTAATCTTTTGCAACATTCATTAGACAAGCAGATATGACATGCAAGTTCAACCAATGTAGAAAAATGTCACTGAAATTGTTAAAAATTATCTGTCAAGGGCGTCAAGATTTACTTATAGACAATAGACAATAGACAATTAATCTTTATTTACACACTCATTAAGAATAGTAGTAGCGTCAACTTAAAGTAGCGACTTAAATGTCATGTCATTCAGATAGCTTTATCGAACAAGTTCTCAATCAAATAGAAGTGAAAGCCGAGATTGTGTGAGTGACACATATTGATAAGATATTAATCCTAAATGGAGAAGTCAGTTTGATCAGTCAAATGTGTGAACACAGAACCAAGAACAATTTTTGTTAAGATGCTGCCTTTGGTTATTCTCTTGAGTTCTTTAGTGTCTTCATGTGTGGCAAATTTCAGACCAATAACAGGTCCGACTTTGCCTGTAAATGAAAATGAGATTTTAGAGGACCCTCTATTTCTGACACCGCTACTCAAGAAAGGTAAATACAAAAAAGCTCAACAGCTTTCAAGAGTGGATCCGGACATTGGCAACATAACAAGTTATTCTGGGTTTTTCACTGTTAATGAAAATTGTGATTCCAATCTATTCTTCTGGTTCTTCCCTGCCCAGAAAGACAAATGGGAAGAAGTACCTTTGGTGCTCTGGCTCCAGGGGGGTCCTGGGAGTACTTCTATGTACGGACTGTTTGAAGAATTGGGTCCTTTCGAGTCCTATAAAGAAGGGTTGAGAAAACGTAAATATTCTTGGAACGTGGAGAACAATCTTCTGTTCATAGACCAACCGGTTGGGGTAGGTTACAGTTTCACAGGGAAGCACTGTTACCCTCACAACGAGACAGCTGTAGGAGCAGATCTCTATGAGGCGGTTGTTCAGTTTCATCAACTGTTCCCAAACTTCCAGAAGAACAAGTTTTTCATCACTGGAGAATCTTATGCTGGACATTATATTCCGGCTCTCGGTCATGCTATCCACAAGAACAATCCAACTGCCAAAGTGAAGGTAAATTTAACAACCATGATGATAGGAGACGGTTGGGTCGATCCGATATCTCAAGTTGACTATGGAAGTTATCTTTATCAACTTGGATTTATTGATGATGCTGAGAAAGGTATCTACAAAAACTATCAAGAACAGTTTGTGAAACAAGTAACAGCTAAAAAATGGGAAAAGGCATCAACTACATGTGATGCATTTACTGGAGACCTCTACAATCGTTTTGTTGGTGATGATGTGAGTGTGTACAATTTCCTTCCGCAACCTTCTACGGAACAACAAAACTGGCAAACATTTATTCAGTCAAGTCAGGTTCGCAACGCACTTCACGTAGGAAAGCTAAAATTTCAATGGGGAAATCAAGTTTATAAAAGTTTGAAATACGATATTGTTCAATCGGTAAAACCATGGGTAGAAGAACTACTCGAGGTTTATCCAATTGTGTTTTACAACGGGGAAGTTGATATTATCTGTGCGTATCCCATGACAATAAACCTTCTGCGAAATTTGACATGGAGCGGAGAAGGTCAATATCTGAATGCTACTAGGACACAGTGGTGCGTAGATCAGGTATGTAAGAATTTAAGGAACATTTTTTGTTTATTATAATTTTATAAAAGCTATTATCAATAAACATTTTTAGTTCCAGTTTACGCAAAAATGTTAATAAAATCTACATTAAAGTTATGTTTTATTACAAAAAAAGAGTGAAATACAAGTTGACATTCTACTAAGGTGCAGGAGCAATGAGGGCTGCTAATGGACAAATGGTACCAGGTGATCAGAGCTACTGGGCCTATGTCTAGCTAGATTTCTCATCCTTATGGAACAGCTGAAGAAAATTTTATTGCTAGTTCTGTACGGTGTACTACAGAGGTCGTGTTTTGTTTAACATTTTTTTCTTTTTATTTCAGTCATTTAAACTCTTTTAACCAAATAATAAATTCTAAACATAAACAATAACTCACCTCCTAGTTATATAACTAAACGGTAAAGCACAAATGAAGAAATTACCCTAAAATAATAGAATTTATATGTCATCGACACTAGAGCCCAGTGTTTCTGTACATGAACTAGACAAAAAAACAAGCTTCAAAATTTACAATGGGATGAAAAGTCTACTTATTCTATGGCCCTGCTTGATCAAATATTGATATTTGTCACTTATCACTTATGTAGGAGCTAGCAGGCTACTACAAGGGCAGTCACCGCCTGTATGTGTTGGTGAGGGCTGCTGGACACATGGTACCAGCTGATCAGAGCTACTGGGCCTATGTCTTGGTCAACTATTGATGTTTGTCACTTATCACTCATGTTATTGTAGGAGCTAGCAGGCTACTACAAGGGCAGTCACCACCTGTACGATGTGTTGGTGAGGGCTGCTGGACACATGGTACCAGCTGATCAGAGCTACTGGGCCTATGTCTTGGTCAACTCTGTCACTTCAGGAACACAAGATGACCCTCTTTATGCTCTGGCCTCCTGCGATTCAAAGCTCTAGATGTTTTAGATATCTTCAAAAGAATAAGTCATGTTTTCCTTTGCAAAACTTTTGATACGTCTATTTAAATTGTTTAGGTTTATTGTAATTCCAGAGACAATTAGAATAATTTTGTTTCTGCAAATAGGTTATAGAACGTGCAATTAAAATTTATATATTTTTTTATCATTTTAGGCAATAGACTATTTGACATTTTGGAAATAACTATTACCTATTTCTGTAGCTCTAAAGGCCTTAGCTGTCAAATCAAATTTAGCTACGTTTTTCGGCACAAAATTAATACACAGGGGCTGGGTCTAAGCATTTTCCTAACTGCCAAATTCCGTGACTGCTCCGATAGCAGTTAGTCCACACCCCAAAGTATCATAGACCTGCAGGAAATCAAACACCTTGAGCAATGCTCGGTCACCTTGTACTTGTATTTTAATCAAACATTGTCACCATTTACATTACTACAACAGAAACAAATGACTAAAACTTGTCACTGTCAGAAAATGAATATCAACTAAGGACAATGTTTTGATACTTGAGATTATAATCACCAAACAAAAATTCCCCTTTCCGGGGGTGTTGTTATTGGCAGTCACTGCCCTTCCATGGTCCCACTGCATACCAAAGCAACTGGACTTTGACAATTTTTCTCCCCCCCTTGATAGCCATCCCACAATTTATGACCAAAGTAAGACAACATGTTTTTCAAAATATCTTTTAATATCACAATTATTATTACAGTGGCAAAGCTAGTAAATGTGAACATTATCAATTAAATAGTATAACAGTATAACACTAATCTAATATTAAGTTTAATATTAAGTGAATTTATTTTTGTACAGTAACCATCTTTGACAAGTCTTTCTGTGCAATATAATTATTACAAGCAGTAGGTTTTGGGTGATGAACTTGAGCTGGCTTAATCAATGAGGATAACTTTTATCAGTACGATTATATAATCTTTTATATTAGAATAATAGAATATTTAAAAAAAACTCTTTGAAATGTTCAATATAACTCAATTATAAAATTGGTTATATTCATTACTAATTGTGTTTAAATTCATTAAATCTTTCTGAAATTTACCAAGTATCTTCTTTACCAGGTGTCCCATATAAATGTATAAGGCAGTGTTGTATTTGAGAATTTTAACACAAACACAGAAAATATTCTCTTTAATTTACTGTTAAATACCTTACCACCATAATTTCACAAACTTTTTTAAAAATAGGCCTACACCAAAAACTATCACTGCAATTGAACTTGATTATCATCAACATGTCTTAAGAGCGGAAACTACATAAAATGAAAATATGATTCTAAAAGTATTTCACATTGTATATCTAATCTACATTTATGTTAGAATAGAAAGGGCTTATGGCCTGAGAATTAAGGAGACAAATGATTGGATGAGCAGGCTTACCTTTAGAAATTTAGGCATCCTACTTCACTACGCTTCTGTGTTAATGTAGTGAAGTGGGTTGCCTACATTTCTAAAGGTAAGCCTGCTTAGTGCTTATCCTTTGTGCTTAATATACATTTATATTTATGTAACTCGAAAACTCATCAAAACCAAACCGTAACCATTATGAAAAAATCTTACAAATATGCCACTTTACAAACTGCAGTTTGAATTATATTATAACAGCAGTATACAACAACAAAAATGGTAAACAACATTTAAATATTTCCACTCTCAAAACAATTTTTTTTTTTTTCAAAAATTGTCAGGAATTAAGACTTGACTAGCAGTGTGATTCTTGTACATGTCTACATTTTTTTTTTTAGTTACTATTGTTTCTTCCCACAATGAATCTAAGTTTTTTTTACAATATTTTTTGTCATATTGCAGCAAAAACTGTATTTTTCAATAGAGAGGAACCCCTCATATCCGACCTAGGTATAACCGACTCCTTGAAACATCCGACCTTTGGTTTCATTATAAGCTATATCCATAGAGGTGTGCAAGCAGCTATAGTTTCGAGCCTCGCCTAAAAGCATGAGAGATTGAATGCTCAAACTGAAATTTTACCATTGAGATTGCAGGGCTTGTATATTAACATTGTGTAATCAGAAAATTCATGCTTTCCCTGCAATCACGAATGATTACGTTAAAGTTTCAGTGATCGCGAGAGACTACAATGGTATTTCTGTAACCATTAGAGGAGATGTTCAGAATTTTTCAGAAACCCCGGAGATGATAATGTCTAATTGACTGCAGTAGACGTTTAAGATTTTGCCAAGATCGTGGAAGGCAACGATGATGACTTAACAGATACAGGAGATTTTCAGGGTTTTGCCACAATCTTTAAAAAGAAAAAAAAAATCCTTGACATATCCTGTGGTCATGAAAAAATCATTATCAACTTCCACGATCTTGGCCAAATACTGAATGGTGTCAAATTGACTACGACTGGTGTTTCTACAGATAGATGAGTAGGTAGCCGTCAGCCTTGCGTCTACATAGTGAGCACATGTGGTCCAGTTCTATCAGCCGCAGACAGCAAGTCTCACAGTAAGCTCGGTGACCACAAGGAGTGAGAGCACAACACCTTGGCTCTGCCATGCAGATGATGCATGAGTCATCCTCCTCTACATCCGCCACCTGCAACCACAAATACACACAGATATACAGGGTGTCTCTCAAAGAGGTTAGATTTTAGATTTTATATGACTCGCCCATTTACAAACATAGTCTCAAAAATTTACTAAATATTTTAAATAATAATTAAAAATTTTAAAAAAGTATTATATGCACACTTGATTTTTTGTTGAGATTAAAAAAGACACCCCTCCAACTTCAGTTTCAATTAAACTGCACTTGAGAAGGTTAGATTATGTTTTTATGGCACTAGAATACCCATCAATAAAATAGATGTTTAACAATACTAATACTTATTGTTTAAAATTAAGTCATTCTCAATCTTTGGTTTTATTGAAACTGCACATGAGAAGGTTAGCCTAATCTTTTTATAGTTCAACCAATATTCTTAAATCAAACAGTATAGTTGTTGTACAATAATCGTTAAAACTGCATCACAGTAAACAAATCGGGTAATAACTCAAGAAAGTAAAATTTTTATAGGAAGCGAATTGGTAACAATTTTTAACTGCCTACATTTTGTTTCTACAAATGTTAGTGTTAAAAATTGTATTTCTAATTCCTTCTGCCTGGCCATCTGGACATCAAATCATATGTTGTATTTATATGTTAATAATCAATTTAATATTTCTTTCTTTACATTTTATCGTAAGACATACTACAGTACTTACATCAATTCAGCTCAAAATTCTGAATGGTGAATTTCAGAACATGTTTCGACACATCTGTGTCATCATCAGCTGAGCACTAGTGATTTATATTCACCAAAATGGCTTTGACATGGTTCTTGAGTACACAAGCCCCAAACTCAAAACATAGACATTTAATTAAAAAATAATGATACTGTTGTTACGAAAGCCCATACAGACAATGACGCAGCCTGCTGGGACGAGCATGCAGTCGCACTGCGGGTCGGGGGACAGACTGACTGCTGTTTCCTTATCCAGGCTTATCAGTGTTATCACAGAGGCAGTGCACAGCTGTTTCAATGAATGAAAAAATGAGAAAATAAAATATTGAGTTGGAGCTGAAATTTGTTTTTCATTTAGAACAAACCTCAATTGCATCATTATTTTTGTGAGCTCTGTAAATTTAGTACTCTACCAATTTTCTGCCTTTGTCTCGTACGTGAAAAACTTCTGATGATGTAGCTTATGATGATACAGATGTGTGGAAACATGTCCTGAAATTCACCATTTAGAGTTTTGAGCCGAATTGACGTAAGTAATATGTCTTACAATAATTATCTCCAGCTCAGGGGCTCAACAATGAATTTTAATACATTTTATCAGTTTGTTCTCAAGCACATTCTTTAAACCATCTATTTTATCTTTTAATTAAGTGAAATCTAATCAATGATTAATCAATCATTACTTACAGTTAGGAAGCTGAAATTTTTTAGCATATTTTTAAGACCTACTTGTTTTAAAAATAGTGTGTAGTTCAAAACCTTCGGTTTATAAATAGGCAAGTTATATACCTAAAATAAAGTGTTTAAACTTCTTCGTGGGACACCCTGTTTAATTGACTTTTGGATAGGTAGGCTACTGAAGTAGGGATGAGCATCGTTAACTGACGATTTTGTAACACCAACGTTTTTACTCTGAAAACGTGTTTTCGGACAATATTATTGGTATACATCAATGGTAGATGCGAATGTTACTATCACTGGTTGGGCCATCTATGCTCTTCTGTATACAGTACTGAAGTATACATGAAAAATATATGGACCAGCTGTAGTCAATACATTATTAAAAAAGAAGACACAGTAAAACCTCTATCTGATTATCTGTATATAGATAAAAACTACATATTTAAATGAAATTACTTTTTCTGTAGAATTTAATGCTATTACAACCATATACAAAATCAAAAAAATATCATTTTCAAATATGCTTAATCTTAATCTATTATTATTACTGTATTAGTAAAGTTCCACACACTATCTTTAGATTAATGCTGTATTTTTCCAAACATTTTAACAGACTTCCGAAAATCCTTAAACAATAATTGGATGCTATTAAAAACTTTTTGGTGAACTGATATTACTGTGAGATACAGTTGAATCTAATGAGTTCATAACAAATCAATTTACTGTTATCATTGGAGTTAGTAACAATTTTATTTGTTGGAAAAATACAGAAAAGCAATTTAAAAAAGGAAGAATTTACCTTTGATCTGAAGAAATCTCACCGAGTCAACTCAAGAAACTTGGAAGAAACTTGTCAACTTTGGAAACTTAGAGTTGGAGAAAAATATAAGTAATTTTGATATTACAGAGTTATCTTGTTAAATATGTGGACGAAACAATCCTTAAAAAAATGAAGTCACAAGCTTAAGTTTTGAAGTGGTTTAAAAATGGTAAGTCAATAACTCACAGATATCACATTCAACAAAAAGCATTACAGATCATCCAATTCAATGCTTATTCATTGTCAAATTTTTGTAGAGCAAAAATGTATAGTAAACATTTAAACATTTTTTAGATCACTTACAGCCAGAACTAATATAATTTTTCTCTTTTAATTCATAGTGAAAACACAAAAAGACACCATCACTATTCAACATACTCACCACCTTATATTAATGGTTTATGAAACTTTTGAAAATAATTACTTAACAGGAAACTAAATTCACAAAAAAATAATAGAGGTTTAAAAAGTTCACAGGGTCAAACTGTTTAGTGTTTATACTTTTCAACCATGTAATATTTTTTATGCTCTTTTTAACACGTTCACTGCGCATGACGAGTAATCTCGACTCGACACCGCTAGCGATAACCAGTGGCGCACTACGAGTATACTAATCAAAGCGCCGTTAACAAACTATTGTTCCAATGCGAGGGTAGCCACTGCCGTGAGAAGTTGTTTCCCTTGCCACTTATTGAGCCAGTGTTATACTTTGTTTTCTGATCTGACGATTTTATCGGTGGTAGGGACATTTACAAATTTATTGTGAGGTTTAGGCTTGGATCTGTTGACATGCAATAAAATAACGTTAATGAATGTACTGTAGCATTGTGGAAGGAACCTAACCTCAAAATTGTGCATGATTGCTTTTTGGCAGTATTTTTTTATGGTGTATCCCGGTAATTCACCCCTGCTTTTTCCCTCCATTTGACAAATACTGAGGGCCGGCTAGCAGTATTGTTCAGTGCTCCTATCTGTTGGTTTTTTGTAAAACTACGTCCACAATGACTGGGGCGCAGTATGTGCCTCTCATTTGGATGAAACTAAATTAAACTTTTTCACACACTTTTCCAGGCAGCACATTAATGTTTGCACTATCGAGCGCTGCCAGCCATCGGGCAGCCATATTGAACGTGTCAAAAAGTTTTGAATGTTCTAACAGTTTGACGATTAACAGATTCAAACTTACAATAAAATACTTAAGATTTATTTGAAACTAGAACAAGATCATGTGGGATCTTCAGCTAAAACTGCACACTTTGACCATCTGCAAACTATTGGAATAGTAGGAAAT